GGGGGGACAGTGAGGGGTCAGGACTGGGACCCCAGAGAAGGAAGAAGAAAAGAGGGTTGTGTTGGGGGTTCAGAGAAAGGGTCCTGAGCTCTAGAGAAGCTAGTTCAGGGACCTATGGGGAGGTAGAGAATTTGAAATGAAGGGTTTTTAAGGATTATTTAGGAGTCTTCTACAGTGAAGAATACTCCAAAAAACTTTGGGGCCTTAACAGACTTAACAGAGGTTGGGGGAGTTATTTGTTTGTTGGTAGTGTTGTGAACAAACAGATTACAGGATTTTACTTGAGAAGACCCAGAGTGAGGAGTATGTCAGGATGAGGGTCCTTCCTCTATTTGAGCTCTATAGCACTATTCCTCTGGAGCGCTGATTCCAATTATACTACTTATTAACTCTGTGACTCAGTCACTTTGCCCCAAACCTCAATTTTCCTCTTCTTTTAAACTGGATGATAGGGATGCCAACATATGTAATGTGCCTAGTTCAGTACTAGCACACAGTAGGTACTCAATAAATGAAATGCAATTACTATTGTGTTATAGAGGGAATTTCCAAGCTGAATGATGGATTGCGGTTTGGATGGGAGTACCAAGCACAGTTAAGACAATTAGACAGACCTTTATGGCTGACTCTGGTAAGTTGAGTTTCAAAGCGAGTTCCTTCTGGAGATTTTTATCTGGAAACATGGTGTGGCTAAACAAAGCCTCCAACTCTTCATGCTGCGTGTGCATGAATGAGGTGCGTTTTTGGTGCTTCTTCCATATTGCTGTAGAGCAGAGATGGAGAGGGAGTGGTTACACTAACACAACCCCCTCTCCCCCAAACTTCCCCCAAACCATAGCTGTGAATTTCCCATGGCTTTCCACCAAGTAAGCTTGAAACCCAAGACATATAGATCCCAGGTCTTGACTCTGGGAGCCTGAGACCTATGTAACAGTGCTCTGTCCTCAGTTGTCTGAGATTTAGTTTGTCCTTGCTAGGAAATGTTACCTCTTCAATTTTCTCTGTACCCAGTCTGTTTGCTCAGGAAACTGGCTCCCTTGACTTTCAGTTTGCCCTGCCCTCCTTTTTCATAGGCACTCAGTCTGTCTACCCTATCTTAGCCTCAGGACAGTGGCCAGTGTTTGTCACTCTTTGTTTCTTTTAGAAACTGGGAAGAAACCTCATGTCCCTGCACCTAAATAAAACACACTCTTCAAAATGGGTTTCCTCTCTTCACTTATTTATTCAGGAAACCAGTCTATCTCTTCTGGTGAATTTTTTTCTTTCTTTCCAGGCTTTCTGAAGCTCTGTGGGAAAACATTCATAAGAAATGAGACATAATTAAATATGTGAGGATGATTAAATTATAGACTATCTTTTTAAAAATGGCAATGGAGAGAAAAAAAATTTTCTAGGAAAATACAATTATCAAAATTTGCTAAAAGAACAGCTGACCCTGACTAAAACGACCACAGAAAAACACAGGTTAAGCTATAGAATTCAAGGCAATGCTGTGCTAATTCTCTTGTTATATGCCCATTTAAGAAAAGGAGGAAGGGTTTTCACTAGGGCCTCACTTCTTGTATTTGAAGTCTACAACATCAGTACTAAAACCAGGCAAAAACAAACTATAAAGAAAACTATAGACTAATGCCACTTATGAACATATGAGGTGTGATCAAATAATATGGTGAACGTTTAAACTTAAAAACATNCATACATCTTGAAGACCTTGGTGCCATGGAAACCCTGACAAAATTAAATGAAGTTAGAATATTATATGTAATGTATTTAATTGGGCCTAGCAAACAGGCATAATTATGACCCAAACATCTATAGCAGAGATATGGGATGCGCCTGGAGGTTACAGAGACAGGCAGGAAGGAATTGGGATGTAGGGTATCTGGGTAGATCTCCTTTAACCCTACCAGACCTGAGGCCCTGAACCTAACTGTCCCCTACACCTGGGCTCCTGAGCATTAAAGAGAAAAAAACTAACATGATATAGAAAAATGTTAGTTACATGCAAACAAGTGGTTAGAATAAGATGGAACTTGGAGACATTGTAGAAAATAGGAGTGCTTTTCCACGCACACAACACAGATATGATTAGATAAGATATGATTAGAAATTACTGAAAAATCAGTACAGCGGTCTGGTGGGGTTAATTTGGCATTGGTGGCTTTAGCATGTACACTGCAAAGTTCAGAGGGTACAGAATCCCTTTTGCTGCATAAGCCACTCCCCAGGATGTCCTTAGCTGAACTCTGAACACCAAAGCAAAGCTCAAAGGAAAACAAGAAAATAAGCACTGCTCCCTTATTCCTGCTAAGTTCTATGCACTTATTCCAAAAGCTAGGAATAATCTATCTACATTTTAAAGCTTTCGATACCTCAATTATCATTAATCATTTTACATTGGTCCCTCTGGATGTGCAAATTACAAGTCTGTAATAATTTTTGGGTTGTGTGCAAAAGCCTGTATAAGTTTTTCAACTTGTAAAATACTTTCACTTCTAGTTCAAGGATGCATTTTAGATTCAAGAGCCCTGGGGTGGAAAGAGCTGTATCTATCGCTAGAGAATATTGTTAGGCAAAACAGGTTCTAAACTCTGCAGGCAGAGTTTAAATAGTACATGCAATAAATACAATTGTGCTACATTAACTGGTAGTGTGACACAGGGGATGGAATTTTCTTTTTATTAGTTTCAGGTGTACAAAACAATGTAGTAATTAGACATTTACACCCCTACAGGGGATGGAATTTAAACCACATGAGAATGTCTTGCAATTAAAGCAAATACTGATTGGTGAAAAGATCACAGCATTTGGGCTTTAAAAACTAGAAATTTGGGGTTCTGGGCCTTCCACCTTTTTCCACATCACCTCCTCCCCCTGAAGCCTGCGACGCCTCCATCACCACTGTGTCACTTTAGAGATACCACACAGCCACTCTCATTGAGTGTAGATGTAAGATCCTAAGCTGTCAGAAAGTAGGTACTCTCTTCTTGCTCTAAGATTTTTAGATTCAAAACAGGAATTTACACATAGCTAGGTCTCGTTCTCAGCGCTAACCTTCTCCCCACCCCCCACCATATGTAACTAATTTGCATTACAACCCTCTTACTCAGAGCAAAAAGGTGATGTGCAGCTCAGCCTCAGTCTCCATGTTCACCATTCCAACGGTCCCCTTGGTGCACCTGCTCACCTCTGAAAAGCTTACCTGAACGGCACGGGCTGAGTCAGCATCCGCGGCACCTGCCTCCCCTGACGGTGAGCAAGCGATCAATGGCAGGAGGCGGCTGAAGGTACAGCAGCTGCACAGAGGACAGAATTCTGTTGAGGAGGCTGGGAAAGGAGAGAAAACTTCAACAGAAATAGTTCAAGTGTCTCGAAGTTAAAAATAAAACGATATCACAAGAGGCAATGTGACCAGGCTCAGCTTACGATTTTTCTTTCCCGTGTATTTATCAACAGTCGGTCTCTACGGGAGTGGCATTTAGCAGGGGAAGCCCGAAGGGAAATGAGGTTTTATATCAATGGGTTTTCTTTCCCTCGAGGAAGGTAGAAAATCCTTTTAAGAAGGATCATTTTCAAGGCCTCTCAGACCTCTGTGCGTGCAATCGGCAGATCCAGCTGTGCTCGCCGAGGCCGGTGGAGCATTTGGGACAGGCCGCTGCGCTAATTATAACCATGCTTTTCACCTAAGCCCATCGCTGGCTGAAGCCCCAACTTGTGCAAGTGGCATGCGGTCCGGTTTCAGTTTCTCCTATTTCTTGTCGTGACAAGTAAGTGGCTGTCCTCCCATGGCCTTCTTCTTTCCCGGGTGGTTGGAAAAGGGAGAGCTGGTAACTCATAAATCAAGCGTAGAGTGAGTCCAATGTGAGAGAATTAGATAGGTGGCAGGAGGCTTAGCTATGGCTTAGTTCAATTCCCTCTTTTTATAGATGAGAAGACTGAGGTTTAGAGAAGGTAAATTGTTTATCCAAAGTCACACAGCTTGCTAGTGGAAGAACCAGAGGACTCAGTTATTCTCACCCTCAGTCTGGTGCTCTTCTGTATCTCATCCTCTTCAAAGGAGTTCATTCAGCTATCTTCTAATGAAAAGGAAATATGTAATTCTGGCTTTGCTAATTTCTAGGTAGAGTAGACCCCCTTATCCATGGTTTCTTTTTCTGCAGTTTCAGTTACCTGTGGTCAACTGTAGTCTGAAATATTAAATGGAAAATTCCAGAAATAAACACTTTACACGTTTTAAATTACCGCCGTTCTGAGTAGCATGTTGAAATCTTGTGCTGTCTCGCTCCACCGTCCAGCTTGGAATGTGAATCATCCTTGTCCAGCATAACGATACTGCATACACCACCCGTTAGCCACTTAGTAGCCATCTTGGTTATCACTGTCACAGTATCACAGTGCTTGTGTTCAAGTCACCCTTATTTTACTTACTAATGGCCCAAAGTGCAAGAGTAGTGATGCTGGCACTTTGGACATGCCAAAGAGAAGCTGTGAAGTGCTTCCTTTAGTGAAAAGGAGAGTACAGTACAATAAAATATTTTGAGAGACCACATTCACATAACTTTTATTGCAACATATTGTTATAACTGTTCTATTTTATTATTATTTTTGTTAATCCCTTACCGTGACTAATTTATAAATGAAACTTTATCATAGGTATGTATAGGAAAAAACGTAGTATATATAGGCTTGTATTGTTATAGTATATATTGGTACTATCTGCCATTTCAGGCATCCACTGGGGTCTTAGAACATATTCCCTGAGGATAAGGGAGGATTTTGACCAAGTTACATAACCACTCTCTCCCTCAGTTTTCCCAATTGTGAAATAGGGCTGACACTACTCAGTGTGACCCTGTGTTGAAAAGCTAACATAATACATCAATATATGTAATGCACACGAATGATGTCTAGCACGTACCAAGTGCTCAACAATGCTGTTATTTGAATGTATGGGCTAACAATAGATGTGCAAAATTCTGCTGTAATTAACAGACACTGAATTTCAGTTTCCCCTGGATTCTTCCATGCATATGTGACTGTGTTAGTAAAATTACTCAGGGTAAGCAACGAGCAGTTGGAAATTATAAAAATTTTGTGTATTGATCTTGTATTCTGAAACTTTGCTGAACTTATTAGTTCTAATAGTTTTCTTATGGATTCTTTAGGATTTTCTTTTACAAGGTTATGTCATGTGTGAATAGAGATATTTTTACTTCTTCCTTTTAAATTTGGAAGTCTATTACCTTTTCTTGCCTAATTTCCTTCACTGCCAAGAGCTTCTAGCACTATGTTGAACAAGAGTGGTGAGAATGACCATCCCTAATTTGTATTCCTGATATTAGGAGGAAAGCATTTAGTCTTTCACTATTAAATATGATATTACCTGTGGATGTTTTGTAGATGGTTTTTATCAAGTTGAAGGACTTTGATAGTTTAACCTAGTCTGTTGCATGCCTTTATCGTGAAAGGGTGTGGAATTTTTTCAAATGCTGTTTCTGTGCCTATTGAAATGATCGTGTGGTGTTTGTCCTTTATTCTATTAATATGCTATATCATTGATTGATTTTTGTATGTTGAACTAACCTTGCATTCCTGGATAAACCCCTTAGTCTGGTATATAATGCTTTTCATATGTTTCTGGATTCAGTATTTTAGCATTTGTTGAGGATTTTTGCATTTATATTCATAAGGGATATTAGTCTGTAATTTTACTGATGTCTGTTCAGTTTTGGTATCAGGGTAATACTGGTCTCGTAGAATGAGGTAGGAAATGTTCTTTTCTATTTTATGGAAGAGTTTGTGAAGGATTGATGTTAACTCTTTAAACATTTGGTAAAATGTAGCAGTGATGCCATCTGGGCCTGGGCTTTTCTTTGTGGGAAGTTTTAAATCACTAACTCAATCTCTTTACTTATTAAAGCTCTATTCACAACATTTCTATTTCTTATTGAGTAAGATTTGATATTTTGAGTCTTCCTAAGATTTTGTGATTTTGTCCATTTCATTTAAGCTATCTAATTTGTTATAAAAATTATACATTTTTATATGCAGTTTTTATGCAGTTTTTCAGTATTCCTTTATAATGCTTTTTATTTTTGTAAGGTTGGTAGTTATGTCCCATCTTTCATTTCAGATTTCTGATTTTAGTAATTTGAGTTGTGTGTGTGTGTGTGTGTGTGTGTGTGTGTGTGTGTGAATCTAGCTAAAGTTTTGTCATTTTGTTGATCTTTTCAAGGAAGTAGCTTTTGGTTTTATTGATATTCTCTATTGTTCTTTTATTCTCTATTTCTTTTTTCCTGCTCTAGTCTTTCCTTCCTTCTGCTTGCTTCGGACTTAGTTTGTTCTTCTTATTCTAGTTTCTTAAGGTGAAAAGTTATTGATTTACTGGTAAACCTATGGAGACAGTAAAAGGATCATTGATTGCCAGGGGTTAGGGGACAGGGAGGGAGAAGTCGGTGGAGCACAGAGGATTCTTAGGGCAGTGAAACTATTCTGTAGGGTATTATAATAGTGAATACATGTCACTATACATTTATAAAAATTAATGTAATGCACAACAGTGAGGCTTAATATAAACTATGGGCTTTAGGTGAGATTGCTATATCAATGTAGGTTCATCTGTTGTAACAATTTACCATTCTTGTGTAGATTGTTGCTAATGGGGGAGGCTATGTGTATATAGGAGCAGGGCATATATGGGAAATTTCTGTACCTCCACTCAATTTTGCTGTGAACCTAAAACTGCTCTAAAAAATAAAGACTATTTAAAAAATAAAAAGGGAAAAAAATAAACAAAAACTTCACAGCCTAAGTGCCTGTGTCTGTCTCCAATGTTTACAGTCATGCCTACAGGATTGCTCTGCAATGACCCACAATGTGATAGGTACCCTGACCTGCAAACCTGCTACTGCTACTGTCCCTGTTAGTAAACTACTACTGTCAGTAAATGCTGATTCAGTTTTTATTATTCACATTATAATTTCTTCCATGATTGATTCATTATTTAGAAATATACTTTTAAATTTCTCAGTGGAAGGAGAGGTTGGGGCTTCTTCTAATTAAATTTTCTTATGATCAGATAATGGTGTTTGTATGTTATTGATTCATCCGAGTTTAAGATTTGCTTTGTGGTCTAGTATGTGAACATTATGTGCTTGAAAAGAATGTGTATTCTTTTCCAGTTGGATGCAGAAATCTACATACTTCTATCAGATCAACCTTATTAATTGTATAGTTAAAATCTTCTCTACCCATGCTAAACATTTATCCATTTGACCTATTAATTATTGAGTGTTATACTAAAATCTTCCAGGCCGGCTGAGTGGCACGTTGGTTAAGAACTGGCTTGGGATGCCAGTTCTGAGCAGCAGGGCCCTGGTTCGGATCCCACATGGGGCCAGTGACACTGCCCTCTACAGCTAAGATGGTGAACAACAGCTCGACCTGGAGTTGGGCTGCTGCGAGTCACTAGCGACGGCATAGGCTGCAGCCCCTGCTGCAGTAGGCTGCCATAAGCTACCAGCGTGAGTGGCTGGCAGTCAGCGTGAGCAGCTGGTGGCCGGTATGAGCTGCCAAGAGCCACCATAAGCGGCCGTCAGAGGCCAGTGACTGATCTGCCTCACCCGGGAAGAGCGCAATGATGGTGCCAACATGGGCCAGTGAAGCAACGTCCTCCACAACTAGACTGAAGAACAAAACGACAGCAACTTGTCTGTTCCCCTTCCCCCAATTCCCCAATAAAATCTTAAAAACAAAACAAAACAAAAATCTTCCACTATAATTATGTATTTGTTAAGTTGCCCCAAGAATTTTGTGAATTTTTGTTTTATATGTTTTTGGAATATGCTGTTAAATGTATACAAATTCAGAATTATATCTTTCAGGTAAATTGTTCCTTTTGTCCTTGTCTAATGTACTTTTACTTCCAAGAGTGTTTTGCCTTACAGTTTAATTTGATAGATATTAATATAACTATGCTGGCTTCTATTCTATTTTTTTAAAAAAGGTTATTGATTTGAGATCTTATTTTTGAAATACAGGCTTTTGCAGATATAAATTTCCTTCTAAACACTGATTTACTTTCATCCTATAAGTTTGGTATGTTATAGTTTTGTTTTTGTTCATATCTGAATATTTCCTGATTTTCCTGATTTCTTCTTTACCCATTGGTTATTTAGTAGTGTGCTTTTTAATATCCATATATTTGTTAATTTTATGAATTTTTCTGGTATTGATTTCTAATTTCACTCCATTATGTTTGGAACATACCTTATATTTCAGCCCTTTAAAATTTATTATTTTATGGCTGCAAATGCCTTTTATCTAAAATTTTTATGTCCTTCAAGTTTTGAAGTTTTCTCCACAGAGGTCTTTTCTTAGTTAATTCCTAGACATTTTGTGGAGAGGTACTTATTTTATTCTGTGTTTATTATAGGTTTTGAGAAATGCTATTTATTGATTTTGTAGATTGATCATGTAGCTGGAAAATTTGCTTAATTGTCAGTCTAAAAGTTTGGCTATTGATTTTGCTTGTTTTCCTAGATGATCTCTTCCTATACTAGTTCTTACATTTCTTACTACATATAGACTCATTCTATATTAAAACTAATGGTGATGGTGACTTCCCCTTAAATTTTGACTGAAAGTACCCTAGAGAAAACCCCAGACCTAAATATTGGAAATAAAATATGAGTTTATAACCTGCTCCCATAAAAAGGCTGCTGACCTTCTTTTCAAAAGTCTAAGATAGTTTGGGGAAGAGGAATTTTTGGAGTCTAATTGGCCATTAGAGATTAGGCAGGTCTCTTCCCAGGCAGAGTTGTGGGATTGATTGTGTAGTATTGAGCTATACTTGGAAACAACTAGTTTCTATAACATTTCCATGGAAATCAAAGCGACACCAACCCGGATTTTTGGGTTAAGACACAAAGGCAAGAAGAGAGGCATGTACAAGATGCAAGACAATCCTTTTTTCTGTATAATCTGGTATTTATTAGTATTTTGATCAGAGGAATCCAAAGTCCATCATACTGGAGGGCTTTTGAAATTCTGGGCTGTCTCTTAGACTGTAGGCTACAAAACCTCAGCTGGTCATACTGGATGAGGTTTGCCAGGAGATGGACCCACAGCTGGACCACTGAAGATGCTAAAAGAAGAACGCTGTTCTTCTAGCTGGGGCCTGGGGGTGAGAGATACTGATATAGGCAGTGGAAAGAAGAGTCAGATAGCTCATCCTCATCAGGAAAACTGTACAGTTTCATGATTTGGGCTATGTCATAGGCATCAGCATACAAAGCAGGAACTGAGGCCACTAGCGTCTCCAACTGAGGACCTTGCATTTGGACATCATTTATGGGACTCTCAGTGATGATAGAGTCCCAGGCCCAATTGGAAGGGCCAAGGGGATGAGGTGGAAGGGAGCTATAGAAACCTGAAAGAACAGGAAAAGAAGAATAAGGACTGGTGGATGTTGTGGGTGAGGTAAGCATGTTCTGGGCTGGAAGAACCTGGCTTGGTTGTTTTACTGATAGCTGTTGCTGCTGCTGCTTCCTCAATTGGACTCGCCGGTTCCTGAACCAAGTCTAGGAATTGAGAAAGAGGGGAGATTATGGTCTTTAGTGAAGAAGTCTGAGGCATCTCCTGGGTGAGAAAAGCCAAGTTATA